AGGTTATAGTTTTTCATTTCTTCATTTTATTTCAAATCATAAAATTAATGCCATTTCTGATTTTCCAGTTCGCTTTATAATCTCTTCCATGCATATTTTCTAAGTAAACTTTTTTATCTTTAAATTTTCTTTAAAATGCTAGGTGTCTAATAATTACAATGTCTGAAATCTGTGGAGTATGGGTCTATATCTGTTTTTAGTTTCAGCTGACACTCAATATGTATTCATTTCCTAGCGATTTCTATAACAAATTATGATCAAATTGATGACTTAAGACAACACAAACTTATTATCATATAGTTTGGGGTCAGAAGTCCAAAAGCACTGAGCTAAAGTCAAGGCTGATTCTTTTGGAGACTGTAGGAATGATGTTCCCTTGCCTTTTCTAGCTTCTGGGGGCTTCCATCATTCCATGGTCCATGACCCCTTCCTTACATCATTCCATCCTCCAACCTCTTGCATCTTCATTCTTTCTTTTCTTTTCTTTCTTTTTCTTTTTCTTTCTTTCTTCTTCCTTTTCTCTTTCTTTTTCTTTCTTTCTTTCTCTTTCTTTCTTTCTTCCTTTCTTCCTTTTCCTTTCTTTCTTTTTGTAAAATGAAATGAGGTCTTGCTATGTTGCCTAGGTTGGTCTTGAACTCCTGAGCTCATGCAATCCTCCCACCTCAGTCTCCCAAAGTGCCGGGATTACAGGCATGAGCCACCACACCCAGCCAACATCCTCTGCTTCTGTAGTCACACTTTCTTCTGCCTCCCTCTTGTAAGGACACTTACACAAGTGTGATAATACAGAATAATCTCTTCACTGCAAGATCCTTAATCACATCTGCAAGGTCCTTTTTGCCATGTAAGGTGATACTAACTAACAGTGCAATGTGACTGGTTCCCTTACCAGGTTACTTAAAAGTACATGCCTGCTGCCTGAACCCTGAAGTCCAGATAGTAAGCCACGGCCATGGTACCCAGCTGAGGAGCAGGTGTCCCTGAGAGCCTAAACATCCCAGGGAGTATGTGAGAACCTACCAAAGAAAACAGTATAATCACATAAACACAGCAGGCCAAGGGCCCGAAAATTAGCTTAAAAGCAGCTTAGAGAAGGGAGGTGGCACAGATCTCTAGAGCTGTGCTGCTGCCACTCAGGAGTGCCCTGCCCAATATGTCTCAATAAACTCATCTACTTGACAAGCGGGAGTTCTCTAAATCATTCTTTGGTCTTTCGGCACCTTCCCAACTTGGGAGGGAAGGGGATGTTACAGTCTCACGTTTTTCTCTTAATACACAGGATCCAGGGCTTAGGACTGAGATATTTGGGGGTGCCATTATTTAGCTCATTACACACTCTCTGTGTCAGAGACTCAGTTGACAACAGGTATCCATTCCCCAACTCCCTTGCTAGTAATGAAAATACTAATTTTTAGTCAAGTTTGTTGTTGGCCAGTTAAAACTCCCTAGTTTTTGTTCACATCAAGACGTGATCCTTGTGGTTAAATTTTTGACAATAAATTTTAAGTGGCAGTACTGTGTGCAACCTTCAGAACGTATTTTTTTTTAATAGGCATGCCCTTCATCCCTTTACTTCCACAACCGGCCTGGAATGTGAGCATCTGGAGCTCTAGCTGCCATCTTGGGTCACAAGAACAAGGAGCACAACATAGATTTGGGAGGATTCATGAACTGTAAAGAAACAGGTCCCTGATGAATTTTTGATGAATCTGTCCTGGACACCTACCTCATGACGTCTTTTAGATGAAAACAAATAAACTGTGTGTGTCTAAGCCACCATTATTTGTTCTGCTGCGTGAGGCTAAACTTAGTCCTAACTCATATCATCATTATGTCTTTTGTTTCTTTGTATATTGGGGGATTTTTTCATTGTAATTATCCATTTGGTTTCACATAATCTATAGGAATCCTGAAAACCTTCCTCCAAAAGGGATTTGAATTTTTGTATTTCTGGAATTACATATGCTAACAACAGGGGACAGTGTTAGCCTTCTTAATTAGGGCACAGGGCCTGGCAGCAGCCTCAGAGCTTAGCTTTCAATCCCTCATTTGTGGCTGACATTGGCATTTCTCCTCCAAGTTTTGCAGTTTGTTTACCATGCAATGCTAGCTTTAGCTTACTATGCATGTTTGCATGTTGTTGTTCTATTTTGTTTTGTTGACATTGGAAAGTTCCCTTTGTTTCTTGCAAGAGCTCAATGTATTAAAAAAACATGTTATAATCTGATTGTATTGCCATTGTAGTGGAATATGACTTCAGAGGCTTGTTCACTATTCACCCAGAAGCAGCACTGATGCCCTTCCCATGCCAGTTTCACCATTAAATGTGTTATGAAGGCTTTATGTCTGATTGACCCATCCAAGACTTTGATACAAGCTTGGTTACAAGCAGAACTCTTCTGAAAACAAGCTTATTACCACTTTCTATATGTGGTAACAATTCACTCATTTATTTGTATTGGGGATTCGGTTTGCACTCATTACTATTATTTTCTTTTCAAGTTTCTGGGACCTCTTTTAAATTACACGAGTTCATTCCTCTGCCTGCAAAGATTCTGACCCCTCCCCAGGGATGTGTGTAACAAAAGCCTACTAAGGGAAATATACTATTACTCTGCAACTTGCTTTTTTAATTAATAATATGTCATTTTGCCTTTCGGTACCTATGATCACCTCATTCTTCCTTCATAGCTGAAGAGTATTCCATGGTACGTACCACAATTTACTAAACAATTTTACCATTGATAGGCCCTTAGGTTGTTTCCAATATTTTGTCATTATTAATACTGCTGTGCTATAATAAACATATATATACTTGCATATGTGCATATTTGTGAGTAAATTTATAAAAAGGCTCTGTAGAAGATAAACTTACTGGTTCAAGGGGTATGAATATTTAACATTTTGATGGATGTTGCCAATTTGTCTCCCCCAAAAGCCATGCTAATGTAATGTGTTTTTGACAGAGACTACTAATGCCAACTTCATATTAATTTTCCCGAATTCTATACTGAAAGAATCCCTGTTGTGTTTCAGAGTGGTGGTATGCCTAGCCAAAGGCAACGTCTCACAGCCTCACTCTGAGCTAAGTGTGGTCACAGGACTAACTTCTGTCCGCTGAACTATGAATGAAAGTGTTGTGTGGGGCATGCTGGAGTGCCACTTACTGGAAGATGTGCCACTTTCCGCCCTTCTACCTTTATTCCTTCTTCAAACCTTCTCAGTGGTTTGATGGCAAAGTCCTTGCAGTCATCATGAATCATGTAATCATATTGAGGATAGGGGTAGCAGAGAAGAAAGAATGGAGGCTGAATCATGGAGAGCCACTATGCAACTTTAGACTACCTACAGCTTGACTTTCATTATATGGGAGAATTAACCCATTATTTTCCAGGTCTTTGCTACGTGGAGGTAAATGCTATTCCTAAATAACACAGCGCCCCTTTCAATCATGTAAACAATACACCAGTCTCACTGAGTACTTGCTGTGGTCCCCATCATGTGCTGTGGACTGTCACTGCAGTGTCCTTGCTCACTACCACAGTGGCTGTCCTTCCTACATGGGTCAGTGCAACCAGGTAGGTGGCCTTGTACATTGACTCCTCATCCTTTCTTTCCCAACTGATGACCTCAGTCCACAGGACTAGTAGAACAAACTTTAAATTTTCATTTTTGGCTCAGATCATCTAGAGAAATCAGTCTACACAAATACACACACACACACACACACACACACACACACACACATCCAGTACATACAGAAAACCAAATGACTTTTCAGAATCCACAAATCTTCCCATACTTGAAGCAATCCTTACTTCAGTCTGAAGAGTTTTCCAAAATAACCCTTCAGCCCCTTTTAAGAGAAGGCCTATCTAATGAAAAATGTAACCGTTCTATGGAATAAAAAATTGCAGACTTAATAATTCAAAACTGCTACTAAATCAATGTACTGCTTGTTGGTTTGTCAATACAGCTTTTTCAATTAGACAATTTTATTACAGTGATGAATACCAATGGCATAATTGAGAGACTGCTGTTCTAAATTATGGTCTGTTTAGCCTAACAATCCATATTTGCTACTGAACAAATGTGATGACTATAGCCTTCTGAAGATGAATGGTCCTCTATTGGCAGCTGACCTGTCCCTGGTGAGGACTGGGCAGGAATGATTCTCATCATATTCCTCCATGGGATCCTTCTGGCTGACCATTGTAATGGCACTTCGCCTCCCTTCACAGTGCCCTCTCCTACACCAGGAACACCTACCCTACTGGTGATAGGTATTGTAGATAGTGCCTGACAAGTAAGTTCCGAGTTCCACACCAAATCCCACTTTTCCTGGTAAATAAAAACAGCACGAGGTGAGGCACATTGGCTTTTTTCCCCAGCACTTAGGGAGGTCAAGGCAGGAGGATCGCTTGAGGCCAGGAGTAATAGAGCCTGGGCCAGGTGCGGTGGCTAACATCTGTAATCCCAGCACTTTGGCAGGCCGAGATGGGTGGATCACCTGTGGTCAGGGGTTTGAGACTAGGCTGGCTAACATGGCAAAACCCGTCTCTACTAAAAATACAAAAATTAGTCAGGTGTGGTGATGCGTGCCTGTAGTCCCAGCTACTTGGGAGGCTGAGGCAGGAGAATCACTTGAACCTGAGAGGAGGAGGTTGCAGTGAACCAAGATTGCACCATTGTATTCCAGCCTGGGTAACAGAGTGAGGCTCTGTCTCAAAAAGAAAAAACAAAACAAAAAAACCAGAACCTAGTTTCCTTATCAGCAGAATGAGGATAATAACCTCTACTTTCTAGAGTTGTAATAATTACATTATAAGTGTGTGTACATTCCTCTGACACATAGCAGATACTCAGAAAAGGTTACTTGACTTTGAATCTATCAAACATATGGATTCAGCAAGCCCTATTCCTCAAGGAAGAGGCAGGAGCCTCCACTTCTCCGTGACACATTGTATTATTGCTTTCCTCCTCATTGTTATCAGAAGTACCTGCTTTGGGGCCCATGAATGTCAGTGGGCAGCATTTTTGCTTCTTCCCTGACTTTGTTGTAGTCTCTTAGCTTCCAAGTCTTCCATGCTCAATGCCAAAATGGGCTCACCTGCATTTAAGTGAATGACAAAGCATCAGAAGGCAGACAACTTGACTTCTTTCCTTGTTTTATGCCCCCAAGGCATGGGCAGGCAAGGTCCGAGTTGTCTCTGTTTGCCCTCCCTACCCACCCTTCCTGACACACTTCTGGGTCTCTCCTTGGAACCTCCACAGAGGACAATTCAATTTAGCTCATAAAGGTGGGGAAGGGCAACCAACTCATCTTGCTTTTCCTGGGAATTTCTGTTTTTCATACTAAAAGGCCAGTAGCATCCCAGGACAGATGGTCACCCGAGGTGGGGGGCACCACAGGCATGTGGATCTGAACGGCTTATTTTGGGGGCCTTTGCCTATTGGGTGTTGAGCAGGCCTTGTGAATCAGTGCCTGACCCTCTGGGTTTCCACTGCCTTCCGTCTTGACTTCAGAGACTCCTCCCTAAGGACCAGCACCAGGGTCACCACCTGTGGTCTCACTAGGCCTTGTAAATAACAGTCCAGCCAGAGGGAGCAGCGCTTCTCAGCGTGCCCTTCCCTCACGGCAGATTGGCTGTTAGATGTGAGCTGCACTACTTAACAATCCCCATTTTCCCCTCACTTTCCCAGGTTGCTCATAACAGAACCATGAGGAGAGGGAGGTCCTAGGGCCCCCAACTGAAGCCTGGTCTCCCCGCTGGTAACTAATGAGAGCCTCCGAGGGCAGAGGCCCACATTTGTTACTGTGTTGACTCTTCTGTGAGGTATTTATCCTTTGGTAACATATGCCCTCATACATATATATATACACACAATTTTTTTTAAGGTATAGTCTCGTTCTGTCTCCCAGGCTGGAGTGCAGTGGTGTGATCTCAGCCCACTGCAACCTCCGCCTCCTGTGTTTAAGCAATTCTCCTGCCTCAGCCTCCCGAGTAGCTGGGACTATAGGTGTGTGCTAACACACCCGGCTAATTTTTGTATTTTTAGTAGAGACAGGGTTTCACCATATTAGCCGGACTGGTCTTGATCTCCTCATGATCCGCCCACCTCTGCCTCCCAAAGTGCTGGGATTACAAGTATGAGCCACCACACCTGGCCTATGCCCTCATATTTAACATCAAATAGTTACTCAGCACCCACTCTAGCTGCCCAGCATGGCACCATGGGGCATATTCCTCTGCCCTTGAGGAGTCCTTTGTCAGTGTTCCTACGTCCTCTTCAGGGTTCTGTGACATCCATCCTAGGCACTTTATTTCTCATACACTTGCTCTGGCTGGGCACGGTGGCTCATGACTGTAATCCCAACACTTTGGGAGGCCAAGGCGGGAGGATTGCTTGAGTCCAGGAGTTCAACACCAGCCTGGGCAACATAGGGAGATCCTGTCTATACAAAAACTAAAAAATTAGCTGTGCATGGTGGCGCATGTCTGTAGTCCCAGCTACTCAGGAGGCTGAGGTGGAAGGATGGCTTCAGCCTAAGAGGTGTTGCAGTGAGCCATGTTTGCAACACTGCACTCCAGCCTGGGCGACAGAGTGAGACCCTGTCTCAAAACACAAAACAAGGCCAGACGTGGTGACTCATGCCTGTAATCCCAACACTTTGGGAGGCTGAGGTGGGTGGATCACTTGAGGTCAGGAGTTCGAGACAAGCCTGGCCAACATGGTGAAATCCCATCTCTACTAAAAATACGGGGGGCGGGGGGAAATAGCTGCATGTAGTGGCACACACCTGTAGTCCCAGCTACTCGGGAGGCTGAGGCAGGATAATTGCTTGAAGCCGGGAGGCAGAGGTTGCAATGAGTGGAGATCGAGTCACTGCACTCCAGCCTGTGTGACAGAGCAAGACTCCATCTCAAAAAACAAAACAAAATAAACACACATGTACTTGCTCTAAGTGTTCTTTCTTGTCTGATCAGGCTAGTCACCTCTTAACGATGGCTCTTGAGATTTGCAGGAGGCTCTGTCTCTTCAGAGAGCCTATGCAGACCTTACCCTGTTTGATTGGCAGACTCTCTATCGCCCGTTTTTCAGGTTACAGGTAGAGGCCTGCAAAGGTTGAATGACTTGTCCAAAGCTCTAGAGCTCATGAAGAGCTGGGCTGGGACTGAGTCCTCCAAAGGCATCTGCTGTTCTTGCCTGCCCAATGTCAGTTCCCCTTCTCATGGTGGCAGCCTGACTTTGCTGTGGGAACTACCTCAATACCCTCTCTGTTGTTTGAAATTTGTGGGCTGATGATTGGGCCTGAATAATGAGAGCACCCATCCTCCCTGACTGTCACAATTAGCTCAAGGATGGGCTGGCGACCCAGCCAGGCCCATGAGCCTCAATCCCAAGGCCTTTGCAGGAACCGATGGAGGGGAAATTGTTCTCTGCCCACTGGGGTTGCTCAGCTGGGATGATATACACCCAGTCACTTTTGCCACCATGGAGGGAAAGCCTGCCTGAGAATACAGTCAACCCAGAGGAAAGAGATCCAAGACTCTAACAGACACTGCCCTGGAAGCATGATTTGAGCTTTTTGTGTTTCATTCAGCCATGCCGGAAGGTAATTTATCCCTGCACTTCATGGTTTCACACCTCCTCTTTTTGTATTAACTCAATGTGAGTTGGGTTCCTGTGTCTTGAAGCCAAAAAGTCATTACTGACACAATCACAGCCTCTTTCTCTGTGATCAGCGTCTCTCTTTCTCCCAACATGCCACATGCACTCCCATCATCAACATCTTCACTCCAAGTGATCTCCCCTGGCCCGTCCCACCATCCCTCCACCCCAGGCCAAGGCTTCTTCCCCCTCTGTCCAGCCTTCCTTAGCTTCCGCGTCCTGTACTGCTCTGCCCCCTTCTTGATTTCTGTATATGCTGGAACCACAAAATTTAACACTTAATGCCACAGTTGTTGGCTCTTGTTTCCATATGTCGCTCTTGTCTCTTCGATTAAGTTTTAAGTTCTTCAAAATCAGAGATTGTGTCCCACCCTTCTACAGATCCTGAAGCAATGTTGGGAAATAGTAACTAAATTTGTGTTGAGCACATCCTGTGCACCAGACACAAGCCTAAGACCACTATGTGCTCTAATCATTAAATCCTCACAACAAACCTGTGAGGTAACTATGATCATTACCTCTATTTTACAGATGAGGAAATCAAGGCATAAAAAGGTTGAGGAACTTTCTCAACAGGCTAGGAAGTGGTAGAATTAGGATTTTAACTCAGGCATTCTGGGTTTCAGAGCCCAGACTTAATTATTACACTACACAGCTTCTTAATCCATCTTTGATAAATATCAATTGATTGAACATACAGAATTGCAGAGTTACACCAAACCTAAAGCAGTAGGTGGTAGCCTCTAGGGAGTCACTCTGATCATCTGAAAGGTTTTGTACCCTTCTAGAAATTGCATGTGTATACACATACATACACACACACACACACACACGCACCCCTGACAGAAGGAAGAGTGGTAACTAGAAGCCCTGATTCTGGGGCTGCTTTGCTGTCTTCACCCCAACTTCAGTTCTTTGTCATGATTAGGTATTGGGAAGAGCATGAGAAAGATGTTGTCTTCACTCTCCAAAAGCTTGACTTCAGAGTAAGGCTAGAAGCTGACCTGAGCAGCAAAGAAATTTGCTTTCAATGCCTCCTGCCTCCCTATTCTGTAGCATTCACAGGGCAGTAAGCATTCACCATGTCTGTCTGCCCAGCATCCACTTCCCTCACTCTCATGACAGTGCTTTGATTTCCCTTTGGGGGACCAGCATTCCCCCATTGGGTGCAATGATATTGGACAGTCAACCAAGCGTCCACCCTCCCCTGGCCAAGGAGTAAGTACCTGACCCACAAGAGCCACCTGGCCTCTGCCCTGGGAATTTGAGCAGCACAAGGAGGAAATTCAGTTAGAGGTAATTCAAAGACATAGAGCATGAGTGCCCATCCACCACACCGAACTCCTGAGCTTCTTTGCTTTCTTTCCTGTCTAAAACCTGATTCTTGAGCTTTCTCCTCATTCCACATGCTACCTGAGGTGGCTTTATAAATGCCAACCCGGCAAGGTTGAATTACATTTCCCAGAATTCGTTTTCCTGTATGTTTCCAGTTAGGGTGGGCCATGTAGAAGCTCCTGGTGTGAGATTTGCAGGGTGGAAGTGAAGCGGCAGCAGTTTTTGTAGCTTGCACACCTTGTCACTTTCCACTGGCTCACCGCATCAGCAGGAGGCAGGGGCTGGGCCTGTAGCTGCTCTACCCTTCTCAGGATCCTCCTTCAGCTTTCCCGACTTCTGAGCCAAACAGGTCTGCTGAGCTCTGTGATGAAGGATCCTGACTTCTGCAGGAGACCCATGCCACCCAAATCAGAGGCACGGTTTCAGTCCCTCCTCATGGTCTCCAGTGGGTGGTTTCCAGCTTGTTCTTGTTCATCCCATCTCTCTGACCCAGCTGCCTGCCCTGCAGACTGCAAGTTCAGCATCAGACCCGAGGGCAAGAGTCTTACAGAGACTGTATCAGCAGCTCCCACGGATGGGTAAGATCAAATCCTGGTAAGAAATCCCTAGTGCTGATTCCTGTTACGGCTGCTTCCTGGAAGGCAGTGCCATGTGCAACCTCTAAACTACAGCATTCGGTGCTCCAGGAAGGGAAAATTTCAAGTCAAATAGAATTCTATACACCATGTCTTTGGAACCTTCAGCCCTCAAGATTCCAACATCATGACCTCAGTTTCAACACAGTTATCCTTAGTTCTCATATCACGCCTTTGATGCTGCCTGTTGTCGAAGCAGTAGAAGCCAACGATGCAATCACTCTCTTGATAGGTGTGGTTCTCAGCATTACAGGCATCTATGCTTGCTTGAAGGTATATGCAGAAAAGAGATATGGACAGATGTGACTTTGAAGGGCTTACTGAATCAAACCTCACCCTGAAAACCTTTGTGCTATAAATAACCTTGGGCAGTATGGCCATTTTCACAATATTGATTCTTCCTATCCATGAGCATGGTATGTTCTTCCATTTGTTTGTGTCCTCTTTGATTTCACTGAGCAGTGGTTTGTAGTTCTCCTTGAAGAGGTCCTTTACATCCCTTGTAAGTTGGATTCCTAGGTATTTTATTCTCTTTGAAGCAATTGTGAATGGAAGTTCATTCCTGATTTGGCTCTCTGTCTGTTACTGGTGTATATGAATGCTTGTGATTTTTGCGCATTAATTTTGTATCCTGAGACTTTGCTGAAGTTGCTTATCAGCTTAAGGAGATTTTGGGCTGAGACAATGGGATTTTCTAAATATACAATCATGTCATCTGCAAACAGGGACAATTTGACTTCTTCTTTTCCTAACTGAATACCCTTGATTTCTTTCTCTTGCCTGATTGCCCTAGCCAGAACTTCCAACACTATGTTGAATAGGAGTGGTGAGAGAGGGCATCCCTGTCTTGTGCCAGTTTTCAAAGGGAATTTTTCCAGTTTTTGCCCATTCAGTATGATATTGGCTGTGGGTTTGTCATAAATAGCTCTTATTATTTTGAGGTACGTTCCATCAATACCGAATTTATTGAGCGTTTTTAGCATGAAGGGCTGTTGAATTTTGTCAAAAGCCTTTTCTGCATCTATTGAGATAATGATGTGGTTCTTGTCTTTGGTTCTGTTTATATGCTGGATTATGTTTATTGATTTGCGAATGTTGAACCAGCCTTGCATCCCAGGGATGAAGCCCACTGGATCATGGTGGATAAGCTTTTTGATGTGCTGCTGAATCCGGTTTGCCAGTATTTTATTGAGGATTTTTGCATCGATGTTCATCAGGGATATTGGTCTAAAATTCTCTTTTTTTGTTGTGTCTCTGCCAGGCTTTGGTATCAGGATGATGTTGGCCTC